GATTATCCATGCATCTTTTTTCCTATACAGGACTTCTGGATAGTTACTAAACATTTCATTTGCACATTAAAATCCAAAAGAACGCCCCCTCATTAGCTTAAAAGGACTAGTTTGGCATCTGTAATTTACTTTACTGACCTCAGCTCCTCCGTGGTCACCGCTTTCCTTTCTTTAAAAAACTGTTTCAGACTCCTCTGGAAACTGAAACATAATTGAACAGTGAGTTCAGTATGTGTAGAGAGGTCCTCAAACTTTTTCCCATCAAGCGCCCCTAAACTGATGAATGAAGATTTTGTCCAAGGATCGCCCATCTGAGAGGATTTTTGCTTTTAGTGTATGAAAACCAAAATAGTCAGACGTTCTGCTACTTATGGATAGAATTATTGGAAAAATAAATTATTACCCTTTTTGCTGGGGACTACCTGGAAACCCCTCAAGGACCCCTGGGGTCCCCGGACCCCACTTTGAGATCCACTGGTTAAGCTAAACTGGTGTACAGCTATGTGCTCTACACCAGTTTAGCTCGTACCTGATGTTCTCAACCACAGACAGGTAACATTAAGTAGAAACGACATGCTGCTAATTAACGTTCCTCCATTACTAATTTAGCTAACGTTACTACAGACAAAACAAACGTGCTGCACAGGGAGGTGTTAGCTAACCGCCTTCATTAACGGACACATTGTGACCTTCACCGTACATTTACTGCACACTGACAACTTACTGGTAATGTTTTCTGCTAACTGTCATGTTCTGCTGCTCGCTCTCTCGCTTATTCGCTCATGTTTCGTGATCAGACTGGCGCTCACAATGTGCACGGCGCTCTGCAGAACCGTTTTGGCTACTGTAGAAACATGGCGGCGCAGTGTGTTGTCTTGCCTGTAAGAGGAGCCTCGGTGTCTGTAGACAGAAATGACTCATTCTAAGGTGATAAAAACAGAACGGTTCATTATGTCAGGTCTTTCTACACCACTGAGAACACAGGTTTGGATATTAAATATTACACACTGGACCTTTAACCTGCTGAATGTTTTTATCAGTGTAATGTTTAGCTGCAGCTAACTGCTAGCAGCAACAGAACGTGGAGCTGTGATTGGATGTTTGTTAGTAAAATGCACCTCATAGTCTGTAGCTCATAGTTTTTTTTTCTGTTTCTAAAACTTCTTAAAGGCAGAAAATGAAGCTGACTGGTGGAGACACTATTTGCAGTGTGTGTGTGCGTGTTATTGTGTGTGTGTGTGTGTTGTGTCTGCGGTCTTATCCCTGCCCTTCACCTGTGCACACAGAACACACTCTGCTCTGATAGGCTGCTTCACTGTGTGTGTTATCAAACCCTAAAACCTTCAAAACATGAACATTAGAGGCTCGCCTGTTTAACATTCAGACATTCTCGAATAAAGTGTAAGTTTCTTGTAGTGTTGTTAGCGTTGTCTGATTCTTGTAGTGTTGTTAGCGTTGTCTGATTCTTGTAGTGTTGTCTGATTCTTGTAGTGTTGTCTGATTCTTGTAGTGTTGTCTGATTCTTGTAGTGTTGTCTGATTCTTGCAGTTTTGTTAGCGTTGTCTGATTCTTGTAGTGTTGTTAGCGTTTCTGATTCTTGTTAGTGTTGTCTGATTCTTGTAGTGTTGTTAGCGTTGTCTGATTCTTGTAGTGTTGTCTGATTCTTGTAGTGTTGTTAGCGTTGTCTGATTCTTGTAGTGTTGTCTGATTCTTGTAGTGTTGTTAGCGTTGTCTGATTCTTGTAGTGTTGTCTGATTCTTGTAGTGTTGTCTGATTCTTGTAGTGTTGTCTGATTCTTGTAGCGTTGTCTGATTCTTGTAGTGTTGTTAGCGTTGTCTGATTCTTGTAGTGTTGTCTGATTCTTGTAGTGTTGTTAGTGTTGTCTGATTCTTGTAGTGTTGTTAGCGTTGTCTGATTCTTGTAGTGTTGTTAGCATTGTCTGATTCTTGTAGTGTTGTTAGTGTTGTCTGATTCTTGTAGTGTTGTCTGATTTTTGTAGTGTTGTCTGATTCTTGTAGTGTTGTTAGCGTTGTCTGATTCTTGTAGTGTTGTCTGATTCTTGTAGTGTTGTCTGATTCTTGTAGTGTTGTCTGATTCTTGTAGCGTTGTCTGATTCTTGTAGTGTTGTTAGCGTTGTCTGATTCTTGTAGTGTTGTTAGCGTTGTCTGATTCTTGTAGCGTTGTCTGATTCTTGTAGCGTTGTCTGATTCTTGTAGTGTTGTTAGCGTTGTCTGATTCTTGTAGTGTTGTTAGCGTTGTCTGATTCTTGTAGCGTTGTCTGATTCTTGTAGCGTTGTCTGATTCTTGTAGTGTTGTTAGTGTTGTCTGATTCTTGTAGTGTTGTCTGATTCTTGTAGTGTTGTCTGATTCTTGTAGCGTTGTCTGATTCTTGTAGTGTTGTTAGCGTTGTCTGATTCTTGTAGTGTTGTTAGCATTGTATGATTCTTGTAGTGTTGTCTGATTCTTGTAGCGTTGTCTGATTCTTGTAGTGTTGTTAGTGTTGTCTGATTCTTGTAGTGTTGTCTGATTTTTGTAGTGTTGTTAGCGTTGTCTGATTCTTGTAGTGTTGTTAGCGTTGTCTGATTCTTGTAGTGTTGTCTGATTCTTGTAGTGTTGTTAGCGTTGTCTGATTCTTGTAGTGTTGTCTGATTCTTGTAGTGTTGTTAGTGTTGTCTGATTCTTGTAGTGTTGTTAGCGTTGTCTGATTTTTGTAGTGTTGTTAGCGTTGTCTGATTTTTGTAGTGTTGTTAGCATTGTCTGATTTTTGTAGTGTTGTTAGTGTTGTCTGATTCTTGTAGTGTTGTCTGATTTTTGTAGTGTTGTTAGCGTTGTCTGATTTTTGTAGTGTTGTTAGCGTTGTCTGATTCTTGTTAGTGTTGTCTGATTTTTGAAGTGTTGTCTGATTCTTGTAGTGTTGTCTGATTCTTGTAGTGTTGTTAGCGTTGTCTGATTCTTGTAGTGTTGTCTGATTTTTGTAGTGTTGTTAGCGTTGTCTGATTCTTGTAGTGTTGTTAGCGTTGTCTGATTCTTGTAGTGTTGTCTGATTCTTGTAGTGTTGTTAGTGTTGTCTGATTCTTGTAGTGTTGTCTGATTTTTGTAGTGTTGTTAGCGTTGTCTGATTCTTGTAGTGTTGTTAGCGTTGTCTGATTCTTGTAGCGTTGTCTGATTCTTGTAGCGTTGTCTGATTCTTGTAGTGTTGTTAGCGTTGTCTGATTCTTGTAGTGTTGTTAGCGTTGTCTGATTCTTGTAGCGTTGTCTGATTCTTGTAGCGTTGTCTGATTCTTGTAGTGTTGTTAGTGTTGTCTGATTCTTGTAGTGTTGTCTGATTCTTGTAGTGTTGTCTGATTCTTGTAGCGTTGTCTGATTCTTGTAGTGTTTTAGCGTTGTCTGATTCTTGTAGTGTTGTTAGCATTGTATGATTCTTGTAGTGTTGTCTGATTCTTGTAGCGTTGTCTGATTCTTGTAGTGTTGTTAGTGTTGTCTGATTCTTGTAGTGTTGTCTGATTTTTGTAGTGTTGTTAGCGTTGTCTGATTCTTGTAGTGTTGTTAGCGTTGTCTGATTCTTGTAGTGTTGTCTGATTCTTGTAGTGTTAGCGTTGTCTGATTCTTGTAGTGTTGTCTGATTCTTGTAGTGTTGTTAGTGTTGTCTGATTCTTGTAGTGTTGTTAGCGTTGTCTGATTTTTGTAGTGTTGTTAGCATTGTCTGATTTTTGTAGTGTTGTTAGTGTTGTCTGATTCTTGTAGTGTTGTCTGATTTTGTAGTGTTGTTAGCGTTGTCTGATTTTTGTAGTGTTGTTAGCGTTGTCTGATTCTTGTTAGTGTTGTCTGATTTTTGAAGTGTTGTCTGATTCTTGTAGTGTTGTCTGATTCTTGTAGTGTTGTTAGCGTTGTCTGATTCTTGTAGTGTTGTCTGATTCTTGTAGTGTTGTTAGCGTTGTCTGATTCTTGTAGTGTTGTTAGCGTTGTCTGATTCTTGTAGTGTTGTCTGATTCTTGTAGTGTTGTTAGTGTTGTCTGATTCTTGTAGTGTTGTCTGATTTTTGTAGTGTTGTTAGCGTTGTCTGATTTTTGTAGTGTTGTTAGCGTTGTCTGATTCTTGTAGTGTTGTCTGATTCTTGTAGTGTTGTTAGTGTTGTCTGATTCTTGTTAGTGTTGTCTGATTTTGAAGTGTTGTCTGATTCTTGTAGTGTTGTCTGATTCTTGTAGTGTTGTTAGTGTTGTCTGATTCTTGTAGTGTTGTCTGATTCTTGTAGTGTTGTTAGCGTTGTCTGATTCTTGTAGTGTTGTCTGATTTTTGTAGTGTTGTTAGCGTTGTCTGATTTTTGTAGTGTTGTTAGCGTTGTCTGATTCTTGTTAGTGTTGTCTGATTTTTGAAGTGTTGTCTGATTCTTGTAGTGTTGTCTGATTCTTGTAGTGTTGTTAGCGTTGTCTGATTCTTGTAGTGTTGTCTGATTTTTGTAGTGTTGTTAGCGTTGTCTGATTCTTGTAGTGTTGTTAGCGTTGTCTGATTCTTGTAGTGTTGTCTGATTCTTGTAGTGTTGTTAGTGTTGTCTGATTCTTGTAGTGTTGTTAGTGTTGTCTGATTCTTGTAGTGTTGTTAGCATTGTCTGATTTTGTAGTGTTGTTAGCGTTGTCTGATTTTGTAGTGTTGTTAGCGTTGTCTGATTGAAGTGATGATGACTCTGTAGAGGAGCTACAGGCCGCAGCTCTCTCACCCAAACACAGACCGATGATCTGTTGCAGTGTGTTCACGTCTGGCTGTCTGACACACACACACACACACACACACAAGGTCAGACATGATGTCATGGTCATGGTTTGGTGTGACGGGTTAACGCTGCATCACCTGGGATACAAACACAGTGTTTCCATGGTAACCTGCTCACCATGACTCAGTTTGTGCTCAGAGTTTATTTAAAGTTCCATGAGAGATGTTTCCTCACTGTCTGTCTGTCTGATCTGTCTGTCTGTCTGACCTGTCTGTCTGTCTCACCTGTCTGTCTGCAGGTGGCGGGTAGGAAAGGTTTCCCTCATGTGATCTACGCCCGTCTGTGGCGTTGGCCTGATCTCCATAAGAACGAGCTGAAACACGTGAAGTTTTGTCAGTTTGCCTTCGACTTGAAGTACGACAGCGTGTGCGTGAACCCCTACCACTACGAGAGGGTGGCGTCTCCCGCCACCACAGGTAAACACACACACTCTGCCAACAACCCACGGTAACACGGCAACAGATGCATGTTTACTAACAATAACCTTTTTATTTATGGTGCATATTCAGAGTCATGTGTAGTCTGACGCCGGTTTCAAACAACAATGCACATTTTAAATTCCGATCACGTTAATCACGCGAGTTTGACCGCTAGACGTCTCGCTGTGTTCACACACAACCCGCCCTTACTGACACAGAATCAGAAACACTTTATGGATCCCCGAGGGGATCAGAGTTGCACACTTGAAATAATAAAAAAATAATAATAAAAAAAAAAAAAATAAATATTATATATATATAAAGACAAATATAAAGGAGTGTGGGTCTGTACAATATTTACATTATTAAAGAATCGTTATTGTGAACCAAAAAGGACCAGTGGATAAATAGCAGCAGAGAATATTGCACATTAATTATTGAACAGATGATATTGCACAAAAACAGATAATAATGTCTACTAACTTAACTAAACTTAAGTATCTTAAGTGTTGAGTCTGTTAGTTTCCGCTACCCTCAGCCTGCTGCCCCAGCATGCAACAGCAAACAGGACAGCACTGGCCACCACAGACTCATAAAACATCCTCAGCATCGTCCTGCAGATGTTGAAGGACCTCAGCCTCCTCAGAGACGGCTTTGGCCCTTCCTGTAGAGGCCCTCAGTGTTCTTGGTCCAGTCTAGTTTATTGTCCATGTGCACTCCCAGGTATTTGTAATCCTCCACAATATCCCACAGGGACCCCCTGGATGAAAACAGGGGTCCCTGGTGCCTTCGCTCTCCTCAAAAACATGATGCTGATTTGTTGTTTGCACTCTTAGTACTTTTACTAAGTATTAGTACTTTGTCCACCACTGAGGTGAACTGATCGCAGACACGTGGAAACAATCAGAACAGTTTTCAGTTTATTTCCTGCTGAAGCAGAAATGCAGCCGAGCTGCAGCAGCAGTCTGAATAAACAAACTACGTCTTTAATATTTAATTATATACAGTAATACTCTGGTGTTGGAGTAGATGGTGTCATATTACATGTAGTAATCACTTCAGGCAGTACTGCAGTTTAAGTACAGGCTGATCTGCTTTTAAACTGCAGAGTTTTCTAATTTTATTTACTTAATTTGTTTATTATTTATTTATTTACTTCTGATGTATAATTGACTTTATGAAAAGCAGCATCACAGGCAGCAACAGACGCCGTCGGAATCGACTCTCGGAACTTTTCTGTATTGATCTGTAAACAGGATCAGTACAGTCTCACCTGTTGTCCCCTCTGGTCCTGGTCCCTGTCTTCCTTCAGGTCCTCAGTCTCTGATAAAGGAGGAGTTCATACAGGACTGTCTGCAGATCGACCTGCCCCCCCACGCTGAACCCTACAACCAGCCCCGCCCTGTCAGCACGTATCCCAGCATGCTCCTCTCTCCTCCAGGTCAGACTGTCAGTCAGGTGCATCACTTCATATTTAAATCGTTTTGTGTCTTGACGTCGTGCCGTCTCTCCCGCAGGCAGCAGCTCCATGGCGGCGGCCGCTCTGGCAGCTGGCGGCGTTGGCTGCAGGAGGAGCGGTGGTGAGGGCGGCGGCCTCCTTCAGATCGCCCTGCCTCAGAACCACGGGGGCCGCGCCTCCCCGCCTCACCCTAACCCCTCTCACACGCCCCGGCCTCCTCACCCGCCCACCCCGACCTCCCCACATCAACAGAGCCCCGAGTACAGCAGCCCCCCCAAAACTGGTACAGAACCTGTACTGCTACACACACCTGAGTACTGAAGTACTCCTAAATAAACTGTGGGCGTGTTTGTATTACGGCTGTGTTGCGGGGTCAGGATAACAGCAATAATACTATACTATACTATAATACTAGTAATTTCTTTTAGAATGAGTGGTAACAGTACAAGTTGTAGTAGAAGTAACAGAACCAGTACAGCTGAAGTCGTAGAAGTAGCAGTAGTATTAGCAGTAGTAGAAGGAATAGAGGCTGTAGCAGTAGTAACAGCATTCGTAATAGTAGAACAGTTTGGAATAGTAACAGTAGTAGTAGCAGTACAAGTACTACTAGGTAGTAGCAGTAATACAAGCAGTAGTAGTAATGGTAGAACTAGTAATACAGCAGTCATAGCAGCAGTAGTAGCAGCATCAGTATTAGCAGAAGTAGTACCACAGTACTACATAGATACTGATGTGATGTGAGACAGAGACTGACCTGTTTCCTGTGTCTCTGCAGCCACCTGGCCAGGTAACAGCCCCGCCCCTTACAGCCCTGCAGGACCTCAACAGAGTGGGCGGAGCCACCAGCAGCCTCCATTACATCATCACAACGCCCCCAACACTCACTTCTGTATGACATCATATGTTCAGATATCAAGTACTGCAGTAGAAGTATGTTTCTCTAGTACTTTGAAGTAGTACATCATACTGAGTCTAAATGTTTGTTCCTGCAGGGTCACAGCATCACAGTACTGCTCCATATCCACAACCAGTGTCCAACCACCCAGGTAACTCCTGTTGTCCCAGGTGTCCTCCCTCGCTCTGTTTCACTGTCTCACTCTGTCCCCTGGTCTCACTCTGTCCCCTGGTCTCACTCTATCCCCCCTCGCTCTGTCTCACTGTCTCACTCTGTCCCCTGGTCTCACTTTGTCCTGTTTCACTCAGTCTCCCCTCGCTCTGTTTCACTGTCTCACTCTGTCCCTGGTCTCACTGTGTCCCCTGGTCTCACTCTATCCCCCCTTCGCTCTGTCTCACTGTCTCACTCTGTCCCCTGGTCTCACTTTGTCCTGTTTCACTCAGTCTCCCCTCGCTCTGTTTCACTGTCTCACTCTGTCCCTGGTCTCACTGTGTCCCCTGGTCTCACTCTATCCCCCCTCGCTCTGTCTCACTCTGTCCCCTGGTCTCACTTTGTCCTGTCTCACTCGGTATCCCCTCGCTCTGTTTCACTGTCTCACTCTGTCCCCTGGTCTCACTGTGTCCCCTGGTCTCACTCTATCCCCCCTCGCTCTGTTTCACTGTCTCACTCTGTCCCCTGGTCTCACTGTGTCCCCTGGTCTCACTCTATCCCCCTCGCTCTGTCTCACTGTCTCACTCTGTCCCCTGGTCTCACTGTGTCCCCTGGTCTCACTCTATCCCCCCTCGCTCTGTCTCACTGTCTCACTCTGTCCCCTGGTCTCACTGTGTCCCCTGGTCTCACTCTATCCCCCCTCGCTCTGTCTCACTGTCTCACTCTGTCCCCTGGTCTCACTTTGTCCTGTTTCACTCAGTCTCCCCTCGCTCTGTTTCACTGTCTCACTCTGTCCCTGGTCTCACTGTGTCCCTGGTCTCACTCTATCCCCCCTCGCTCTGTCTCACTCTGTCCCCTAGTCTCACTTTGTCCTGTTTCACTCAGTCTCCCCTCGCTCTGTTTCACTGTCTCACTCTGTCCCTGGTCTCACTCTATCCCACCTCGCTCTGTCTCACTGTCTCACTCTGTCCCCTGGTCTCACTGTGTCCCCTGGTCTCACTCTATCCCCCCTCGCTCTGTCTCACTGTCTCACTCTGTCCCCTGGTCTCACTGTGTCCCCTGGTCTCACTCTATCCCCCCTCGCTCTGTCTCACTGTCTCACTCTGTCCCCTGGTCTCACTTTGTCCTGTTTCACTCAGTCTCCCCTCGCTCTGTTTCACTGTCTCACTCTGTCCCTGGTCTCACTGTGTCCCCTGGTCTCACTCTATCCCCCCTCGCTCTGTCTCACTCTGTCCCCTAGTCTCACTTTGTCCTGTTTCACTCAGTCTCCCCTCGCTCTGTTTCACTGTCTCACTCTGTCCCTGGTCTCACTCTATCCCACCTCGCTCTGTCTCACTGTCTCACTCTGTCCCCTGATCTCACTTTGTCCTGTTTCACTCAATCTCCCCTCGCTCTGTTTCACTGTCTCACTCTGTCCCTGGTCTCACTGTGTCCCCTGGTCTCACTCTATCCCACCTCGCTCTGTCTCACTGTCTCACTCTGTCCCCTGATCTCACTTTGTCCTGTTTCACTCAATCTCCCCTCCCTCTGTTTCACTGTCTCACTCTGTCCCTGGTCTCACTGTGTCCCCTGGTCTGACTCTATCCCCCCTCGCTCTGTCTCACTGTCTCACTCTGTCCCTGGTCTCACTGTGTCCCCTGGTCTGACTCTATCCCCCCTTCGCTCTGTCTCACTGTCTCACTCTGTCCCTGGTCTTACTCTGTCTCACTGTCTCACTCTGTCCCCTAGTCTCACTTTGTCCTGTCTCACTCGGTCTCCCCTTGCTCTGTCTCACTGTCTCACTCTGTCCCTGGTCTCACTCTGTCCATGGTCTCACTCCGTCCTCTGGTCTCACTTTGTCCTGTTTCACTCGGTCTCCCCTCGCTCTGTTTCACTGTCTCACTTTGTCCCTGGTCTCACTGTGTCCCCTGGTCTCACTCTATCCCCCCTCGCTCTGTCTCACTGTCTCACTCTGTCCCCTAGTCTCACTTTGTCCTGTTTCACTCAGTCTCCCCTCGCTCTGTTTCACTGTCTCACTCTGTCCCTGGTCTCACTCTATCCCACCTCGCTCTGTCTCACTGTCTCACTCTGTCCCCAGGTCTCACTTTGTCCTGTTTCACTCGGTCCCCCCTCGCTCTGTCTCACTGTCTCACTCTGTCCCTGGTCTCACTCTGTCCATGGTCTCACTCCGTCCTCTGGTCTCACTCCGTCCTCTGGTCTCACTTTGTCCTGTCTCACTCGGTCTCCCCTTGCTCCGTCTCACTGTCTCACTCTGTCCATGGTCTCATTCTGTCCCCTGGTCACACTTTTTCCTGTCTCACTCTGTACCCAGTCTCATGCTGTCCATGGTCACACTTTTTCCTGTCTCACTCTGTCCCTGGTCTCACTCTATCCCACCTCGCTCTGTCTCACTGTCTCACTCTGTCCCCTGATCTCACTTTGTCCTGTTTCACTCAATCTCCCCTCGCTCTGTTTCACTGTCTCACTCTGTCCCTGGTCTCACTGTGTCCCCTGGTCTCACTCTATCCCACCTCGCTCTGTCTCACTGTCTCACTCTGTCCCCTGATCTCACTTTGTCCTGTTTCACTCAATCTCCCCTCGCTCTGTTTCACTGTCTCACTCTGTCCCTGGTCTCACTGTGTCCCCTGGTCTGACTCTATCCCCCCTCGCTCTGTCTCACTGTCTCACTCTGTCCCTGGTCTCACTGTGTCCCCTGGTCTGACTCTATCCCCCCTTCGCTCTGTCTCACTGTCTCACTCTGTCCCTGGTCTTACTCTGTCTCACTGTCTCACTCTGTCCCCTAGTCTCACTTTGTCCTGTCTCACTCGGTCTCCCCTTGCTCTGTCTCACTGTCTCACTCTGTCCCTGGTCTCACTCTGTCCATGGTCTCACTCCGTCCTCTGGTCTCACTTTGTCCTGTTTCACTCGGTCTCCCCTCGCTCTGTTTCACTGTCTCACTTTGTCCCTGGTCTCACTGTGTCCCCTGGTCTCACTCTATCCCCCCTCGCTCTGTCTCACTGTCTCACTCTGTCCCCTAGTCTCACTTTGTCCTGTTTCACTCAGTCTCCCCTTGCTCTGTTTCACTGTCTCACTCTGTCCCTGGTCTCACTCTATCCCACCTCGCTCTGTCTCACTGTCTCACTCTGTCCCCAGGTCTCACTTTGTCCTGTTTCACTCGGTCCCCCCTCGCTCTGTCTCACTGTCTCACTCTGTCCCTGGTCTCACTCTGTCCATGGTCTCACTCCGTCCTCTGGTCTCACTCCGTCCTCTGGTCTCACTTTGTCCTGTCTCACTCGGTCTCCCCTTGCTCCGTCTCACTGTCTCACTCTGTCCATGGTCTCATTCTGTCCCCTGGTCACACTTTTTCCTGTCTCACTCTGTACCCAGTCTCATGCTGTCCATGGTCTCACTCTGTCCCCAGTCTCACTCTGTCCATGGTCTCACTCTGTCTCCTGGTCTCACTTTGTACTGTCTCACTCGGTCTCCCCTTGCTCTGTCTCACTGTCTCACTCTGTCCATGGTCTCACTCTGTCCCCTGGTCTCACTTTGTCCTGTCTCACTCTGTCCCCAGTCTCATGCTATCCATGGTCTCACTCTGTCCCCTGGTCTCACTTTGTCCTGTCTCTCTCGGTTACCCCTTGCTCTGTTTCACTGTCTCACTCTGTCCCTGGTCTCACTGTGTCCCCTGGTCTCACTCTATCCCCCCTCGCTCTGTCTCACTGTCTCACTCTGTCCCCTGGTCTCACTTTGTCCTGTCTCACTCGGTCTCCCCTCGCTCTGTTTCACTGTCTCACTCTGTCCCCTGGTCTCACTTTGTCCTGTCTCACTCGGTCTCCCCTCGCTCTGTTTCACTGTCTCACTCTGTCCCTGGTCTCACTGTGTCCCCTGGTCTCACTCTATCCCCCCTCGCTCTGTCTCACTCTGTCCCCTGGTCTCACTTTGTCCTGTTTCACTCGGTCCCCCCTTGCTCTGTCCCTGGTCTCACTGTGTCCCCTGGTCTCACTCTATCCCCCCTCGCTCTGTCTCACTGTCTCACTCTGTCCATGGTCTCACTCTGTCCTGTTTCACTCTATCCCCCCTCGCTCTGTCTCACTCACCCTGTCCCCTGGTCTCACCCTGTCCTCTGTACCTCAGGTCCAGAGTTCTGGTGCTCCATCTCCTACTTTGAGTTGGACGTTCAGGTGGGGGAGATGTTTAAGGTCCAGTCCAGTTGTCCTCTGGTGACAGTGGATGGTTATGTGGATCCTTCAGGAGGAGACCGTTTCTGTTTGGGACAGCTGAGTAACGTCCACCGTACCGCCACAAGCCACCGTGCCAGGTGACCCGTCTGACCCGTAACAGTCACTGGTGGCAGCTGTACTCACGTATACCTACTGACTTTGGTTCTTCTTCTGCGTGTTCTTGTCCTGCAGGCTCCACATCGGTCGGGGGATTCAGCTGGAGTGTCGGGGGGAGGGGGATGTCTGGATGCGTTGCCTTAGTGACCACTCCGTGTTCGTCCAGAGTCTCTATCTGGACCGTGAGGCAGGCCGAGCCCCAGGAGATGGCGTCCACAAGATCTACCCAGGAGCTTATATCAAGGTGAGACGAAACGCAGCCGTGCGTCTCTGTCGATCATGTACAGAACCGTCTGAGGTCACAGACACTGGTCGGGGGGGATAGAACCGATCCAGGGACCATTTTGAGTACCAGGACCATATTATGGCTCCTGTTAGCGGCTCCCGTTAGCAACTCTGTTAGCAGCTGCAGTTAGCAACTCTGTTAGCAGCCGCTATTAGTGGCTCCTGTTAGCAAATCTGTTAGTAGCCACTCTTAGCGGCTCATGTTAGCAACTCTGTTAGCAGCTCCTTTTAGCTACTGCTGTTAGCAGCTCTGTTAGAAGCTCCTGTTAGTGGCTCCTTATAGCAAATCTGTTAGTAGCCTCTCTTAGCAGCTCCTGTTAGCAGCTCCTGTTAGCAACTCTGTTAGCAGCTCCTGTTAGCAGCTCCTGTTAGCAACTCTGTTAGCAGCTCCTGTTAGCTACTCCTGTTAGCAGCTCTGTTAGAAGCTCCTGTTAGTGGCTCCTGTTAGCAAATCTGTTAGCAGCTCCTGTTAGCTACTCCTGTTAGCAGCTCTGTTAGAAGCTTCTGTTAGTGGCTCCTGTTAGCAACTCTGTTAGCAGCTGTTGTTAGTGGCTACTGTTAGCAAATCGGTTAGCAGCTTCTTTTAGCTGCTCCTGTTAGCTACTCATGTTAGCAGCTCTGTTAGAAGCTCCTGTTAGCAGCTCTGTTAGAAACTCCTCTTAGCTGCTCCTGTTAGCAACTCTGTTAGCAGCCACTGTTAGTGGCTCCTGTTAGCAAATCTGTTAGTAGCCACTCTTAGTGGCTCCTGTTAGCAGCTCTGTTAGCTACTCCTGTTAGCTGCTCCTGTTAACAGCTCCAAACTGAAATTCAAAATGTGTTTCATGTCTGTGTTCAGATCAGAAGTGTTAAAGTTTGTTAATCAGCTGCAGCTGCTGACAGACGACAACATCTGAATGCACCTGTCTGCATGTTCCCTCCACCCCCTCACCTGTCGGCCTCTCTCTCCAGGTGTTTGATCTGAGGCAGTGTCACAGGCAGATGCAGCAGCAGGCGGCAGCAGCTCAGGCAGCAGCAGTGACTCAGGCAGCGGCGGTCGTCGGTGCGATTCCCGGGCCGAACAGCGTGGGGGGGATCGCTCCTGCCGTCAGTGAGTATCACCTGTCTCTCTCTCTCTGGGCTGCAGCAGGTAACATCAGCAGTGACACCTGAGTGTAATCTGTCACAATCAGTCACACATTCAGAGAGCACAGCGCCACCTGCTGGATGCACCTGAGACCCCCCACATTTAAAGACATCTGGAGACGGCGGTTATGAGAATAAAATCTTGAAATATTTTAAGAGGAAGAAGGGTTAATATTATGTGATGTACACACACTTCGTAACTGCATCTGCCGACCACTGCAATAAATAATCGACTATTCGGATTATGAAACACGTCTTATTCAGCTATCAGCTTTTAAATTCAGCAGCAGTAAAGACAATAAAATGAATTTGTCGTGTCACGGACCAAACAGGTAAATACAGTAAGAAATAACTCAGCTGACCTCATTTAACTAGTGACAGAGCAGCTTACGGCCGGTGCTGCCGAGACAAACTGACACTACATTTTATACAAAGAAAGTCAGAACTTCACATGTTACATCTGCTGAATTTACAAGAGGGGACAACCAATAAGGAATTTGTGGTCGACAGCGTTTCACAGAGTTTATATTGTCCTCTAACTCAACAACTCACTAAACACAGTGATTCTTAAAGGGAGTCTGGTGCGAATTAGCTGCCAATTCAAATTACTGCAGGTTTGGAGGACAGAGATCTGATGAACAGGATTGTTGCGTATAATAATTATTTGCTCCTCTCAGCACCATTAACAACAAAATGTATAAAAAACATTGCAGCTCAAAACGTGAAGCAACACTGCTTTAAACATTAAGCTAGCTTGCGTGCTAACTACTGCGTGATCCTGCATCATGGGTGCTTTACAGTGTGGAGGAGACGCTTTCAGAAAGACACCTGTGAGTTGTTGTCGTGAATCCGACAGGTGAGTGACGTTGTGACTTCCTGTCTCCCTCCAGGCGTGTGCTCGACGGCAGGTCTGGGCGTGGACGACCTGCGCAGGTTGTGTATCGTGCGTCTGAGCTTCGTTAAAGGTTGGGGGTGTGATTACCCGCGGCAGAGCATCAAGGACACCCCCTGCTGGCTGGAGGTTCACCTGCACCGAGCGCTGCAGCTGCTGGACCAGGTGCTGCATACGCTGCCGCCACGAGAACACACGCTTTGACATGCCGCCACAGGTGTGTGTGTGTGCGTGTTTTCACTGTGGGAGTGTTTAGCTCACAGGACGGCCAATCACAGCAGAGGATTCGTCCACAGCTGAAGAGGGAGGAGAGAAGTTGGAACACGTTGACTGACAATATTCACAGGCTCCGCCCACCCCATCCTCCTCCACACTGCTCATTGGTCGCTTCAGAAAGGCTTCAGACAATCAGCCAACCAACACATGCCTCTTGTCGGTCAGTGAGTTTCCATGGATACCAGCATCATATTAAAGGGTCAGTTCACACAAACCGCCGCCTCCTTCAGCGGCGTCTCCTTCCTGTCTGACGTTTTTAAAGATATTCATTGATTAAACTGGATGTTCCGTCTTTATCAGGCAGAAGCTGGTGAATTAAATGTTGTTTCACATAACCCCCCCCCCCCCCCCCCCCAAAACAAGTGCAGCTGCTTCAGGTTTTTAACACATATGCGGTGGCTGTGGCTCAGGAGGTAGAGCGGGCAGTTCCGTTAATCGTAAGGTTGGCGGTTCTGTCAGTGTATGAATGTGTGTTTGAGCACTTAGGCTCAGTGAATAAATATATATGTAGAAATGTGTGTGAATGGTGAATACAGATGTAGTGTAAAAGCGCTTTGAGTGGTCGAAAAGACTAGAACCCCCAGCCCCCCCCCCCAAGTTAATATTATAAATATGTCAGTGTTAATTATTGTTAGTAGTAATTATAAAATTCATAATAAATGAAAGCTATATTTATCATTTACTGTTGCTTTATAGATGTACTTTGGGTAGGTGGCAATGGGGGGGGGCATGAAAGATTTGTGAGCTGGGCGAAGCCCCCAGTGTTTCAAGAGCCTGGAAACGCCCCTGGGGACCAAAACCAGACTTTCACCCTGGAGACTGCTGTTTGTTTCCTGTGTGAAACAAAAACTCAACATCTGTTCCTCTCAGTGATGTTACTTATGTAACCTAAGTTCTAACTTATGTAAGTTACATAAGTAACGTAGATATTTTCACCATGATCTGTTGCTGAACCATCAAGAACTGGTAACATTTTATTTTGAAAGTCTAACCGGATGTTGAATAGCCCTACATACACTCCTCCCAGCTCCTCTCTTCTCTCTGTTCGGATTATAATGAGGACGCCGACCCTGGAGCAGTGAGAGACCGTGGATGGACGTTGTCTTGGTCCTCAGTCCATTCTTAATGTCTCAGCTTCAACAACAAGCGCTCACAGTTCCAGTGGCCGGTTTGATTTGATGTGATTTTACTGGACAGGAACACAAATAAATGCAGAAAAAGATGCCGTCACAGTGACAATATACATTTCTCTGAACTGTCGTGGATAACACACGAAAGTTACAAACTTATTTCCATTGTGGACCTGGTTAGTTTTTTTTAAACTCAAAAAGGTTCTGCCTCTGGGTATAAAATGACCCGGGTCTCCTGCAAAGCTTCCTGTGGCCCCGCAGGAGCGAACGCATCAGAGACTTTCCAGATGTTGTCAAAGCGAATCGATCAAAATCAAGCTTCTGAATTCTGAAACGAGTCGGGGGGGTTGAGACGCTGAAAAATATTTATCTCTCTGCCGTAAGTCAGTGGGAGGAGTCTCTGTGGGGCCGCTGTGCAGCACACGACCCGGAAGTTGTAATTCCACAGATTGCGGTGCACTTCCTGCGGGCTCGTTTGCACCACCCCAACTTCCTGTCTCTCCACACATCGAGTGAAACAAGTCGGTGATTTTAACAGTGGGTGAATTATTCAGTCAGTTAGGGACCTTTGGAGCCCGGGGCCCATTTCAGCTGAATGGGTCACCGGGCCGGTTCAGTGTCTGCCCCGGGACCAGTTCGGTGCAGACACTGAACCGGTTTAGTATCACTGGTTCACACAGATGAGTTGGTGCCACATTAACTGTGTGTGTTTGTGCTGTTTGACCCGTGGAGTTCCTCAGGGGCCAGTTCTGGGCCCCCTCTTATTTTCCCTTTAGGACAGTCTGTCAGGTATTTATAAAACTGTTCTGGATCAGTACCTGCTGTGTCTGCGGTTTGGGTGAACTGACCCTTTAACATCCGGAAACGACCAGCCGTCACATTTCCCGCTTCAACAGGATGCTGAAAGTCTATTGATTATTTATTGTTATTATCTACCAAAGATCCTGCTCTGGATGACATCGTTTACTGTTTACTTTGTGATTTGGATTATTTATTCTGTCATCAGTTTTTTCTCTCAGCTTTTTGTTTTTAATGCTTTTATACTGAAAGGGTCTATAACTGTAACGTCTGCTGTTTATTAAAAATGAATCTTTCAGCCGTGTCTCTGTTTTCCTTTTGGTTCCTGAAGCTCCATCAGCAGCTCAGTCAACTCAAATATCGTTTTTATTTACTCTCTGAATTTCAAGTTTTTCCTCAGAATCTTAATTTTATTTTCTGAATTTGTACTTTGACTTTATTCTCTTTACTTCCTCTTAACTTTATTATTTTTCTCAAAAAATATGAATTGTCTTGTTCTTTTCACTACTAGAATTGAAGTCATTATCTTTAAACATAAATAAAAGAACAAGTTGAATGTTTTCCTGTTTGATGATGTCTGTGTCTGGCTGTGGCTATGGAGGTAGAGCGGGTTAGCTGTTCATGAAGATCGGCGGTTCAATTCCTGGCTCCCCCTGGGTGTCGAAGTGTCCTTGGGCAAGATACTGAGCCATGAATTGCCCCTGGCGGCTGTTCCGCCAGAGTATGAATGAATGTTAGATGTAGTGTAAAAGTGCTTTGAGTGGTCGAAAACACTAGAAATGCTATATGGATTATATTTACATACATTAAATATGAATGAGGGATAAATAAAGTTATTATTATTAATTAAGTGAATATCAACAACCTGAGTGCAAAAATAATGATCCGTTTGTTTAAATAAAAGGTGCACATAGAATCAGAATCACTTTTGTTGGCAGGTCTGTGTTCATTTAACTCTGTATACAAACTATATCTATATCTATATGTATATATGTATAGATATAGATATAGTTTGTGTTTGTTTGTGTATATATACAAAACCAAGGAAATTTGTAGACAGTGAAACATTAGTGTGATGGAGCAGGATGCAGGAATAAATATTTTTGTGCAGATATTTTTATATACATGCGATAAACAGCAGGTAGGTGTGTTTTAAATGATGTAAATAGTTTACAGCTGAAGCAGGAGTAAAAGATAATATATACATGTGTGTACAATACTTGTTGTTTTGTGTGTTTTATTAATGAAAAACTTGAAGGTATCAGTGAAATATGGCGCCAATTAAGACAAAGAGTGGAAGTATGTAAAGTTTAAATGTTTCATCTTCGCCTTCTGATTGGTTACAAGGAAGTACCGCCTTTGTAATTCTAACCAATCAAAGGGAAGAGTCTTGCATAATAAGATGCCGGGGCAGGAACTCGGTGAATGGCGTATCAGCGGACCAATAGGAGAGCAGAATCTGAACATACATGAATATTCAGAACGGCGGGGGCGTGGTCTCCAGCGGAGGTCGGGCGCGAGCGAACATGGAGGTTTAGTTATCCGCTGGTATCTGCTGGAGAAGGACGAGCAGCGAACCGTGTTTTATTTTCAGTTTTCCTTTGTTGTACTTTGTTTCTCTGCCCTCTGTTCGGGCCTCAGCATGGACATGAAGAAGAGGATCAGCCTGGAGCTGAGGAACAGAAAACCCGCTGAGGTGTGTAACTACAACACACTTTAATTTATTTATTTCCAGGAGGAGAGACGGGTGAAGGAGGATGGAGGCTCGAGCGACGTGACGGTGCTGAAAACATTCAGGTCGAGGACTCCGCTGAACCTGTTCAATTATCTCTTCCGACATTTTGACCCAGAAAACAACTTCCCGCAGCTCCATCATGGAGGAAAGTCCTCCGCACGTTCCCGCCGCGGACAGGCTGCCTCTCGCGCCCTGACTTCTCGCCCGCTCGCGGGGACTCCCCGGAGCTCCGCGCGAGCGTCCTGCAGCTAGCACACGGGCTAAGAGGCTAACCTGGCGAGCGCCCAGCCCTCTCAACAGCCCGCTGGCCGGGGTTAGTTAGCCGGGGCTCGGCGCCGGGACTCGGTAGTAAACGGTAAATACACCTGCGCGTGTTAGTCTGGCTTCTGTTTGTTTAAACCCGCCTGGTTCCGCGCGCGGCCGAGCAGCTACCATTTTAACCTTCGCTGTTAAAGAGTTGGTTATCCACGATGCTCGTAATCTGATGGCGCGTCAAGCCAGACTCCATTCTTAAATCTCCAACTTAGACATTTACTGGGTCACAAGCCAGATTTATTCTCTGCCCGAGCACGAGTTCGAACATTTTACAGTTGTTCAGGTGCTGGCGGACATTTCGGCCCACACTTAAACCAACAACAGTCCTTCATTTAGAGTAAACTCCGTGCTGCTCCCGCCCCCTCTGCTGTGTTGTGCTGCCGTTATTAACGGTGGTTCGGATCGTGACGCTGCTGCACGCGACGGTTCTGAAATCACATTGAATCACCTGAAGAAATACGAGATGCAACGTTACAGCCGGTCTGACGGTTTGTTTGAAGGGACGATTCAATCCTCAGATGATCCAGTTTGGTTGACGAAGCGATGTCAACATTACTGTAATAATTACCCGGGAAGGCTCGCGGTGTCCTCACCGGCAGGTGTTCACCTGTTGGTACAGAAAGAACATGTTCAGTAAATACTTTGTACAGAAGTTCAGTGGTTTTTTAACCAGACTTGGTGTCGTGTGGTTTTCTAACCGTCTCTGGTTCCAGTCCAGGTTTGTCAGGTGTTGCAGTGCTTCCTGTAGACCTGGTCTGATGAGGTCTTGATGCACAATTTAAGTCACAGTAAAGATTTGTAAACCATCAAACCTTTTGTGAGGCTGGAAGCACCAGTTCCCTGATTAATTTGCTGTTAATGTTGCAGCTCTGACAGTGAAGTTTCTCACTTTCAGGACTTCAGGGTCACAAACCAACCTGCAGCTGACTGATGTGTTAATCACTAATCTACTGAACGTGAACATTTCCCATCAGATGAGACTCTTTACAGCGTGAAGACAAACCTTTCTCCCCCTCTGACGGACCAAACACACCTTGAGTTTCTTGCCACTGATCAGCTGTATGTCCTTACACATGTATCAGCTGATTGATCGCTCAGGCTCATTACCTGAAGCAGGTTTAAACTGTGAACTCAACACCCTGACTGAAGCTGCCCTGCTGGGTGAGGGGGTCACATGGTCTCTTGTTGTTGCTGCTGTGGTCACATGGTCTCTTGTCGTCGTGGTCAGGTGGTGGCACTGGTGGTGGATAACTGTCGCTCCAGTGACGGGGAGGTCGAAAGCCTGACGGATGAGTACACGGGGCTGGAGATCCTCAGCATGGTGAACGTCGGCCTCGCCTCGCTCTCCAAACTGCCCTCGCTGCCCAAACTACGCAAGGTCAGTCCCACACTTGCTGTTTCCCACAATGCAACACGGTTTAATAAAGGTTTTTACTGTTCACTGCTTCCTCTGGTTTTTCACACGTTGTGGTTTACAGATGAAACGTTAAACGGTTAAAGTGACCAAAAAGATCAGAGTTGGATGTTAGAATGTGCTGAAATGATCAAAACACACATTTCACCAAGTTTATATTGAAAAGCACAAATAAAAAGAACTTTTTGTTCACGCAAACATTAAAATAACAGCCGATACCTGATGAAACATGAAAACCATATCAGATGTGCATTAAAGATGTTACATCATTATATATTATTGAATAATAATTCATTTAGCTGAAGCTTTTATCCAAAGCGACTTACAATATCTATTTATGTGAGCGGTCGCACGCCTCTGGAGTGTTACATGAACACGGGACTCCAACAACAAAGGCATGTGTCTAATCCACTGCGCCATCACCACCCCAGTTGTTATACCAGTAAATGCTGTGACCTCGTGCACAATTACACCAATACAGATGAGTCTTAAGCAGAGACACCACAGTCCAAAATGATTTTCTATTTTGCTTTAATCACTTTAATTTTCAGATTTCAAGTTAATTTTTATCACCATATTTTCATTAAATATACAAAACAATCTTAAAAAGTGTGTATATAACATTCTTTGTCATGTTTTATATCAAGGCCATTAGGGCTGAAACGATTAAATCGATTCACTGGATTACTAAAAAGCACAAACTACACATTTATTACTGTCGCACATCAAGCTTACGCCGTGTGAACACGACGTGATTATGATGCCGCTGTTTGCAAAGTAAAGGAAGAGAGAAAATAGGGAAGGTGTCCAAACTATGGGATTATTTCAGTTAAAGAAAACATCTCTGTAATATATATATATATATATATATTATATATATATATACACACACACACACGCGTTTGTTGTTGTCTGCCGGCGGCAAGCAAAAGTACTTCTTAAACGATGATTCAATGTACAATCTGTAGAATACTCGATTACTAAAACATCGTTAGCTGCAGTCCATCAACCACAGATCGTGTACATTTCATCTTTTCCATGTCAGAGCTCGATATGAAATCATAAATACTGAAGTTTGTTTCCTAGAGCTCAGTGTTAGCTAGTCCATATATCACATATCTATCAGAGATGTGTTCATGTAACAGTCATTTTTATACTAAAGTGTGTGAGCTAATCTTTATTATCATCATCATTAATATTATAATATTAGACATTACATTGTTAGTGTACAGTAGAGTTGTGCTCACACTATTTGCTTTTATTTTTTTATGTGCAAATATATCTTGGCAAGTTCAAACCTACAATAAACCCGATTCTGAGCTTTTAGTTTTGGGGGATGAAGCCTTGTTATTATAATCAGAGCGATGCAGGCGGCCTCTGCGCTGGGGGTATTGCTCAATATCAGCAAGAACGCACGTCTCAAACCGTCAGCGGCGCTCGTGACGTTGCAAGTTCATTCTTCCATGAACGACTAGCAAGAACGTTGCCGTGCCTTTAGTGTGGGAGCACATGACCATGAACAGGAGGAAACTTGAGGTTTCTGCTCACAGGGATTTCTTTTAAATACTTTAACCTCATTACTTGAAGCTTGGGCCACGTTTAACATGAACATCCAACATTATAACACTGTAGATGAGTCATAAAATGTGGAAAAGCAAAATGTGTCGACTAACACGGGCACATTTACAGTTATGTAGATTAATGTGTGCTGTCCTCATAAAGAAATAAAATTAATTGGATTATATTTACAGGAAGTATCAAACATGTTACAAGTGTTTATTAAAAGTACAATAAAATGTTTAGGAAATTACTTAGAAATTATTCTTTGATTCTGGCCTCTTTATTTTGCTTTTAAAGTCACCAAATTAATGCACTTAACTTTAAAATGCAAACATTTTTCTTCAGGGGGGGCTTGAGGGTCGATGTCCACCCACCATAGTCTCTCAAAATCCTGTGCGTACCAACAGGTGTGTGCGTACCAACAGGTGTGTGCGTACCAACAGGTGTGTGCGTACCAACAGGTGTGTGCGTACCAACAGGTGTGTGCGTGTGTGTGTGTGTGTGTGTTGCAGCTGGAGCTGAGTGATAACACCATC